TATTGCTACCGTTGTTATTGTTATTGTTGTTCTTATTATGTGTTATCACTTATTGTTATTATCGTTACTCTATTTATCATTGTTAGTGTCATCGGCATCATAAGTATTCTTCATATTCAATTTGTCAGTATATTGAAAACAGCGCTGTTGTCACTGCTACACTGACTTCGAATTTCAGATCACGTTTGTTGTCATTATTCCATCATTATAAAAGTGATATCCATTGGGATCATCACCATCAGCAGTATGGAAATATTTAATGCTGTCAGTAGTATTTGCTTTCACCATTAATAATCTTATGTCATAACCATAACAGTAAAATAGTAACCGGTGCAAATGAAAATATTGCCCTGGTTTTCTTGTTACACTACTATGGCTAACAGTTCGTATTTATAATCAAATTACGATTCATAATAATCAAATTTTCATTCATCATTTGACACTTCCAGACTTCCCTACACTGAAGCCACCATTATGGAAACCCTAAGGATGTCGTCGCTGGTTCCTCGAGGAATCTTTCACTGCAACAGCGAAGGAGACGTGAACATCGCAGGCTACAATATACCAAAGGTAAACTGGTGGTTCCGACACTGCAGTTACGCTAAGTGGCCTTGGTAGCTATTATGCCCCAACCACCATTCTCTAATATAGATTATAATTGATATAAATCATGCTGATCGTTGGAAAAGTGTATACAGGCTTCCGTGTAACCTTTCACTTAATTTGTTTTACTTGAAGACGATTTTAAAACATAAAGGTGCAGTTTAATTCTATATGGGACCAGGAGGGTGTTATATGTATTGATAGAGTAGGATCACAGGATATATCTCAGTGTTAGATGACTTGTTTCATATTTAACTACATATCATAGATGAAGGGACTGTAACATACCGAATAGTTCTATACTTCGATGCATCTACTGAACTTGCTCACAGGAAAGCCTAATCTCCTGACCTTTGACCTAGGGCTCCCTGTTGGTGCCCGATATGGAGAAGTGCCACCGAGATCCTCAGTACTGGGAGAAACCTGACCAGTTCTACCCGGAACATTTTCTTAGCCAAGACAACCAAGTCATCACCAAGAAAGACGGGTTCCTTCCCTTCTGTGTTGGTCAGTTTTTTTGTTTTTTTGTTTTTCTTTCTTTCTTTTTTTTTTTTTTGATGATTTAGATGTGTGTGTGTGTTTCTAAAACCAAAGAAAATATCTCAAATATGATTCGAAATATTATTCTCCATTTTTTCGGTCTCAACAAGACTTAAAGGCTCAGGAAAGCGACCATTATACCCTCTAGAATCATCTCGTACTTAAAACACGTATTCCCATTCTCTATACATAGCGTACGCATTACACCACATCTAAACATGTTAAAATCTATATATATATATCATTAAAATTATATATTAAATATTTATTAAAATCTATTTATATATATCATTTAAAATCTATATATATATCATTTCCAAGGACGTCGACAGTGCCTGGGGGAGTCACTGGCCAGGATGGAGCTGTTCCTGTTTACCGCAGCTCTCCTGAAGAAGTTTTCCATCGCTCCACCTGAGGGGGTTAAACTCTCGACCGAAACGAACAAGCACAGACCGGCTTTCAACTTCGCTAAACCTTTCGAGGTCATCTTCACGTCAAGAGAGTGAAAATGGCAATCGGAAATGTGCTGTGTATGGATTCTTAGTCCTAAGTATTTTATCATTATCAGTTTTGTAGTTATTTTTTTATCAAAAGGATAATAAAGATATTAATCGTTGGTGTAGCTACTGTTGTTTTTATTATTCTTATTATTTTTATGATTGATCATTATTATCATTACTATTGATATTGTTAATATTATTATTACGTTATTATTATTGCTATTTTCATCATTATCAATATTGTCGTTATCATTATTATTGCTATTATTATTATCGTTATTATTATTGTTATTATTATCATTGTTATTATTATTGTAATTATTATTATTATATATATACACATATAAATACACACACGTATACGTATATACTTATTCATACGCACATATATGTGTATATTATAAACATATATATATATATATATATATATATATATATATATATTTAATGATGATTAAACAACCCCGACCCGATGATGAGAAATATTCCCTATCATCAGGGACCTTTCCTATGTTGGAGAGAAAAAGAAATACAGACAAAAAGAGGGTGAGAGACTGACAGAGAGAAAGAGAGAGAGAGAGAGAGAGAGAGAGAGAGAGAGAGAGAGAGAGAGAGAGAGAGAGAGAGAGAGAGAGAGAGAGAGAGAGAGAGAGAGAGAGAGAGAGAGAGAGAGAGAGAGGGAGAGAGAGAGAGAGAGAGAGAGAGAGGGAGAGAGAGAGAGAGAGAGAGAGAGAGGAGAAAGAGACAGAAAGATCTCTGCCTGATGGGATTTGGGAATATTTTCCATAGTGTGATAACAATAATGACAAAGAAAATAACTGATAATAATAGTAAATATAATAATAATAATAATAATA